CACCCTGGATAGGTCCTTAATCATCTAGTATAAACCTCACACATAAGAACAACAATAACTGCATTTGAGAATGTTCGTTAGCTAACTTGGCCCTGCGCGGCGACCCACTCTAATCTATCAATAATATTATTACTTGTTACTGGGGCCAAGTACTTGCCCAACAACTTGGCCTGGCTACTTGCAACTTGCTGCCTGCTGCCTGCTGCCAGCTGTGTGGTGCGTGGTGCATGCCCCCTGCTCTCTGTACTCTCCCGGCTGCTGTCGAAAGTTTCGTGCCGCCACCTGTAAACTCCTTCAGCTGCACTCAACGAGCTTGCGTAATTCCTTAGGTAAATTTATAATTACTGTAAGCAACTTGAACTAGTTACGCTAGCAATTGAAGTTCTTCCTCTTTGCCATGCTCCCACAGGCAGCAGTTACAAATAAAAACCAAAAAAGCGTCTTTAAGAAATCGACTAAAAGATACCCTGTACTTGGACTTGAATTGCTTTAAGCATGATGTGCATCTTTCTGGCTAGAGATACGGAATTTATTATGATCCACTTAGGCATTCCCCAGGCTAGTGTGTGAATGTTGTATTATCTTAGCCCTAGGCCATATAAGCCGGTGCTTTTTTTTAAATTTATAATATAATAATAATAACAATTATTTCAATAAAAATAATAATAATGATACTAATATTTACAGCAAAAATAATTGTTTACAGTCAGCAAATCTAGGAGTTTTTTTTATCGATATTCACGAGGAGTTTTTATATCAATCGATTATCGATTTGTGAACGTGCCGGTTAAATCATCAGAGTTGAATTTTAATATCATATACGACATTTAAGACACAAAATATTTATTACTAGCTGAGATCTTCAAGATTAGCGCGTGTAAATGTAGCAAAAAATCGATAAATATCGATATCGATTTGTCTAGTAAAAAAGAAAAGGACGGTAAGAAACATTAAAAGTCACACAACTGCTGCCGATCGAAGCACTTTCTACTCAATTGAACTTAAAATCTTCGCTCCAGTCTGTTACATAGCTTTGCTCAATTTTATTAGACTCTTGTTGACGATTTTCTGAGCATAGGGTATGCAAAAAAGAAAAGAAAAACTTGTATCAAGTTTTGTCTGGCAAACTGGCGCCGGGGCAATCTAATTTCCATTTGCACTGGGCAGCACATCTACTAGCTGGTACCAAAACCTCTTTGCTCCTATTGCCCCTTTCCCTCTGTGTGTCTTGGCCGCTTTTCGTTGCTGCTTGCATTTTCATTAGGTTTTTCATTTTGAAGCACTCGCACCTGGCTGACTGTAAAAGTTCTTTGCGCAATGAAGTGCCATTTTTGGGGCCCCGGTTGCATAAAGTGCACTTTCCTCAGCTGCGAAGGGCAATTGAATGGGTGGGCAGATATTTTGGCGAGTTTCGCATTTTATTGATTTTAATGAAAATGCAATTAAAATTTTAGCACACGCAGTGAACACACGCACAGTGCATTAACCAACAGCATGATTTATGCCATGTTTGACATTTTAATTATGCTCTCCGCTCCGCGAACGCAGCGAGTCTCCACCTACTTATGACAATATAAATATATATAGCCATTATTTTTAATCAAATTTCATCAGAGGTTTCTGTTGTTCATAAATTATCCGGATCGTTTGTTTTCATTCTTGCGTCGTGCTGTGCATTTTCCATTGCACTTTTAATGTTCAATTAATTGCATTAAATTATGTGTAATACATAAATTTATGTATTTAAAATGCACTCCATTTCGTCGACAACACAGTCAGAGTCAGAGTTCAGCTCTGTTTATCTTTAAACATTGTATAAAACTGCTTTTGTTCCGACTAAATGACTGATTGTTCATCAACTACGTTTTTATAGCTACTTGCTTGACTTAAGTAAAGGGTTTTTGCTGAAATTTCAATCGCAAGAGAATAATACTAGCAAGAATGTCAGCTGATCAAAACAATTTGCTTATAAATTATTGATAATTTTACAAATTCTAAGCTGGGATTCCTGTTAGAGAAATTTCAATCTAAAATAACCAAAAAAATATATTAAAACAAGTAAGAGGTTCTAGTCGGGAGCTCCCGACTAGGGGATACCCTGAACCCTCTTCTTCCAGCATTAAATGCATATATATTCTATTTTAGAAGCTATATGTCAAGTTTGGTGACTCTAGCTCTTATTATTTACCAAAATTGCCCAAAAAACAGGATATCGATATCGATTTTTATCGATTGCTTGGAAACGGAGTAAGTTATCGATTATCGGAAACAAACTCGATCAGCGCGGGAACTAGGAGCATCTACATCTAAAATTTCAGTCTGTAGCTCTTATAGGTTCTGAGATCCTTGCGTTCATTCATACGGACGGAAGGACGGACATGGCTAGATCGACTCGGCTATTGATGCTGTTCAAGAATATATATACTTTATGGGGTCGGAGATGCTTCCTTCTGCTTGTTACATACATTTGCATTTTGCATAAATACAATATACCCTTATACCCACTTTTAATGGGTTCAGGGTATAGATTGTCTGCATATCGAATTCAAGAACCTCGTGGTTATATCAGAGGCTATTGACTATCTAAATGCCAACGCCCTCTCATAGCTTGAACTTGCTTAGAATTACAAGTGTTAAGCAACGAAAAATAACGCAGACATACAGTGCCAAGTGTTTTATATTTGAGCGTCACAATCTATTACTAATATTATTCTATTTTAAATGGATTTGTTATAAAAATAATATATAATAATAATCGTGTATGTAGGCAAAATATATCATAATAATCGAACCTTTGCATGCCATGCAATTAATTTTTCTATTAAGAGAGATATTTCCCAATATGTGCCACTATCTCTATCCGGTAATCTGCCTTTCGATGTCTCTGCACCCACAATATATCTACAAAATGACACTTTAATATACTCTCATCAGCAGCATTTGGCTTTAAGAACACGTCGCATACAAATCCAATTAATTTTTATATCAGGCTCGTGTCAGTTTTTGCAGCATCCTAGTGTTTGGGTCAGTCAGGAGCAGCGCACAGGACACACGCAAAATTTAACACAGTTCATTGAGCAAATTTCGACATGCCAACCTAATGGCATAATTTGCCATGCACTGAATTGGCCAGTGTGCGAAAGTCTCTCTCTCTCTCTCTTTCTCGCTCTCCCTTTCCATCTCTCTCGCTCCGCGTTCTTTCTATCTCCTTGTCTTCATTTCTATTATGCTCCATCTCTATTCGCATATTGCCTCCTTTGGTCAATTCAAGTAATTGTTACAGGCATCTGACATGAGGATGACAATCACAAGCTGCTGTCTGCAGCTGAAGATTAATGATAAGAAACGCATTAATAAAGGCATGAAATTTCATATAAAAACTCAGCTTCATGATCTGTTGATTATGATGACACAGCCAAGAGCTTACCCTCTCTCTCTCTCTGTCTCTCTCAAACTGCGTACTCTCTTATTCATGAGTTATTTAAATTTTTGCTCTTTTGCATATTTACCTTGTTATTTTATTACGCGGCGGATATGAGCGGAGCAAAAATAAAATTAAATATAAAAAAAAAACAGAGAGACAGAAAAGTGGAAGCTGCCGCATAAACAGCGTGAAAACATTGTCACAGCATGAAGTCAAATGTTTTTTATATGCAAAAATATTTCATTTCCTACAGCGACAAAATGAAACGAAATGTTAAATAATAATAAAAAAAAAAATAAGAAATATCCACATCAAGTGCGACAAAGTAAATTCCTTGTAAAAAAAGCAAAACAAATGCCAGAAAGAATATCGGGATCCGTGAACAAGAAATGCAAATAAAAAAGTGCAATAAAAATCTGTTTAACATGAAGTGAGGGGACGCACAAAAATCTACCCGGCAGAGTCATTCAGCCAGTCAGTCGAGCTCGCTTTGTGCTCGCTTCTTGCCATACACTTTACAACTTATGAGGGCTAATAAAATTCACTCGCCATATCCTTGACAATTCACAAAAAGTGCGTCAAGGTGCGAGCAATGATAAAGACAGCAGCGGCAGCGGGGTTAGTCGTTGGGCAGGAGGTGGTAAGGTCGCCTTATGGACAGCATAAAATGCGATTTCATTTGAGTTTTGTTTTTTTTTTCTTCTTTTACACAAAGCGCACAAAATGAAACACTTACTTGTATCTGCTTTGTGCAATTTCTGTGATAATTTCGCAAAAGATTATGTCCGTTCGCTCACACAAAAGCCAGAGTTTATAAAGTCTTCCATTTGCATTCTGAGTGTGAGGTTTGGCAAAGTCCTGCGATTATTTGTTTATTCGTTGTCAAGTTTTTCACTTGAAGATTGGCAGCAGCATGGACTTACGAGAAATGTAAGGCAGTGAAGTCCAGCTGGGATTACAACACTCCAAAAGTTTACCTGAAAAGAAAAATATGTATATATGTATGTATATAAATTATATTCAAAGCATAGATTGATTACAGTTTTATAACATTGTCCAACTATACGCCAGAGAATTAAAGAGTAATAAATTAGAGTAAATAATTAGAGAATTTTCAATCTAAATAAACTTTTGTTTTGCTAGAGTACATACAATTATTTTATTTTAGATAGAAAGACCAGATGAGATTACAAACGTAAACAATTTTTGACTTAGGCTTGGCTTCAACAATATATATTGAAAGCATTAATTAATTGTTCTAACCTTTGGCGATTTATTTTTTAGAAATTTGTGATTTTTTTGTAAAGAATAGATTAACAAACCAAGTTAATTATAATTATAATATAATCTATATCAGTGCAGCCAATTCATAACACTAATGGAGGAATCAATATTTGCATACAACAGCTAATATTAGAAGCTTTTTGCTAATCTTGCTCTCTTGCGAATGAACTAAATAAACTAATAATCGTAAATCTGTGCGTTGATTGGGATGCGTCTCCCTGACAAAAACCGTGGCAATTACATATTTTACATATTGAACATTGAATATTTGTTCTAAAACAAAGTTCACTTGAACAGGCTTACAAGAAAATCCAGTATTCAAATAAATGTATATATCTGGGCAATGTCAACGACTTGGCAACTCTTTCCGCAGCTGCTGTTGCTCCTGCTGCTGATTCTATTTCAACTGCAGACAACGGAGGCAATATGGTTTCCCTGGTACTTTCATCGCTATGGTTTCGAGGCGCACAGCCATGGAGCTACTACAAAAGTATTGCCGTCAGGTAAAGCTGAGAAAACGACACCCATAAGCAAGTCGAGTAATGCCGGATCCGCTACGTGTCCGCCTGGCTATCAGCTGAAGGAAAGGACTCTGGCAACATGTCCGCCCGGCTATCAGCTGAAGAGCAAAAGCGCTGCGTGTCCCTCCGAAAATCGTCTGTGCGATGATAATCCCCTAGTAATGCAGCTGGCACGCCTTTATGTGGTAAGTCCGGAGCGTATTGTGTTGTTGCTGGCACAGCCGATGCTGATGGAGGCCTGTGAGGAGATATCCGACGTGGTGGATCACATACGAACCGCCACAAGCAACTGTTTCCTTTCCGATGACAACATCTATGGCAAGCTAGCCGAGGGTCTCAAGTACTACAAGGAGGAGGTCTGCGACGGCGGCGCCGACAGCAGCAGCAGCAACAAGAAGCGCTGCGCGAGCCTCAACGAGGCGCACAGCTGCTTAAAGGAGCTGCGCACGGACATGATCGAGTGCGAGGCGCCAGCGGATTGGTATGAGCAGCGTAATGCGACCAAGGTCTGTCAGACCTTTAACGATGTGCTCGACTGCTATTACACTAGGGGCGCCATGCTTTGTGGCCTGGAGGCGGCCCGGCATTTGCGTTCCTTTGCTGGCGATAGTATGAAACGCTCCATGATCCATGCCTGCGATGTGAACAGGCGTTTGCCACGTGTTATGGATCCTATGCCCGTGATTACTGCGGCTTCTACAAATTCTTTAAACGTTTTGTTAGCTTCTAGCTTTGTAAGTTTACATATAATATATATATTTATATAATTTATTTTGTATGCCAAACACTCTGACCCGTGAGGGAGCCTAAAAATCATTTATCAAATGCATCCGACTACAACTTGGGGGAAGGCCTAATGCCAACTTAAGTGTTTTGCCATTGCGAGTAAATTTCAATAAATACCCAAGGGACTTAAACTGTCGACAAAATAAGCCAATTTACCTACACGTCCAACACGCGGTGCTCCAGTGTGTGCAAGTGCTGTGTGTGCGTGTGTGTGCGTCTCACCGCAGGACACAACTAGGATATATTCGGGTTTGCTACAAGCCAAAACTCATCAATTATGTTGACGCGGACTGCGAATACACGGCTGGTGTGTGGTAACTGCTAATGACCCTTTCCTTTGGCCTCCCAGTGTGGCCAGAGTTGTCAGACGTAACCTTTTGGAAGGCGAGCCATCAGATGGAAAATTTATAAGCTAGAATTCGACAATTGATCTAGCCCTATTTAAATATTTGTCTGATCCACTTTGGAAACTACAATTTAATTGAATTTACCTACTCTTAATAGTGTTCGCATAGCTGGGCAAGTCTAACCGCGTATATGAATAAAATAGTTGTACAATTAAAAAATATATCAATTTATTTTCGTTCTTTACAAAATATATATTTAAGGCTTCGGCTTTTCGTAAATTGAGTGCCAGGCAAACAAAAGTTACCACCGTCGATTATCCGCTCCTTCTCCGATGATGAAACCGTTGACAATGATGCTGAACGGGTGTAAGTATTTATATACATATATAATGTACTTATAAATATACTCACAGAGTCACGCGATTGCACAGGTAGTTTTTTCAAGTGTTCAGTGTCAGTGTTATGGTCGATTATTCCACTCCTGCGACGAGTGTTACCGAACAAGCTAGTATAAAAGCTATATATAACAGTGTAACAGTGTTGTAGTGTTATGCTGTTGCACAAGTAGTGTTAATACAGTCGATTCCAGTCCTCCGATGTTTCAAAATGATACTGAAAGTGTAACGTGAATGAGCATCGATATTATGTACACGTGTGAATATGGATATGGATATACTTGGTGTTGCATTGTGTAACGCGATTGCACATGTGTTTTTTCCATAGTCTAGTGTTTCATTGATCTCCGTTGGGTCTGTAGTAGTATGTATTGTGTGTATCCGAGTGTAATAAGTAGTATAAGGAGTTACGGGTGTATGGTGTATTAATTGTATTTAATTCCGATTTGTCCCGAATTATATTTGGTCCATTTCGGATGTCTAGCTATCAGTTGCTGTTGAAGAAATTTATACATTATTTTTTGTCTAAATTGTTCCATTTCTTTTTAAGAAAAAACTTACATTATGGTCCTTCGCAAACACTCGAGCTTTTGGCTTCTCTTTTTGAAAATTGCACTTTCTACTTAAACTAAAATCTGGAGTGCTGGAGTGCTCTAGATATGTGTTTTACAATTATTTTTCTTTTTTTTTTTTTTTGTTTTCTAAAAAATTTTTGTTTTTTGGTTCTTAATTTTAAGCTCCTACTGCTATGAGTTGCTAAAGTGTACTGAACATCTGTTGAGAGGCTCAGGTCAATGTGTTTTTCAAATTCCCAACTTCTAGGCCAACTTCGATTTTCCAAATTCTGATTAGAGAAATGTTTTATCAATGTAATCGATTAAAAATTGAGCTCGAAAAAAGATTAGTCCGGCACTGAATGCTGATGTGCCAACCAATTTATAAAACCCATTTTAAATGGAAACTTTGAAAATATATTTTAGTTATATATGTTTAATTATTATAGAAGTCTTCGGGTACAATCCTTATAAATTGCATGGTTTTTAAAAACTCAAAATAATTTTTAAAAAATAAATCAGTACCCAATTTTTGTTTAGCAAAGTGCATGTTTAGGGCCCAAGCTGTATATAATTCATTTTGCTTAATTTTGTTAGATAGTGTCAATAAGTAAATTGGTTCCAATTGAACAGCTCTGCCGTGGCTAATATGAAAATTGGCTTTGCCAATATGCGTATTAATTTAAATTATATTCACAATTGCAGCAATAAAAAGATTGTGCTAGAAGCAGCTAACAAAAGTTATGAGTGCAATACTGAAATTTAATGGCATAATTAAACAGACACACACACACACACACACATCCAGTTGATAGCCGGGACTCCAAGCTCGTAAAGTTGAGCACAGAGACAAAAATGCTAGGCACACGCATAGGAGACGTTGACAGGACGCTGAGGGAAAAGGGGTTGGCAACTGGCGCCCATTTGATGTCGCCAACGCAGTTATTTTTGTTGTTGTTGTTGTTGCTGCTGCTGTTGTCTACTCCATTAAAAGCGGGCGCTGCTCGGTTCGGTGGCGCCAACGAGACGTTCAAAATAAAAAGCAGATTGTTCGCAAACAAAACACGGGCACATTTCAATGCTTTTTACCTGTTACCTGTAAATACACAACGTAGCATTGGGGGCAAATAGACAGCCAGACAGACGGCTGCTGTCGCCTAGCGCAGATAAAATATCTTTTTGTTTTCTGCCACATAAAAATAAGTGCTCACAGAACAAACCCTGAACCGCACCCCAAGTACATTCAACATCTCTATTATTTTGCCCCCTCTTCCCTGCAATTGATAATAAACACACGTTGGCCGAGAGGATGACCCCAAAAAAAAAAAACGGTTGCCATTTGGTCAGATGAATGTCGTTTGCCAGGGCATTGAGTGTGGCCTCCCTCTTCTAGCATGTACGTGAGTGTCTGGGCGTATACGTAATATGATTTGCAAAGCACTCGATGTGTGGGCTGGGTCATATTTACAGAGCATTCATAGTTAATTTGCCATTGATGAATTGATGTTAAATAAATCAAATTCAAATTAATGTCAATTAAATTATTAACTCACTCTGTTGAAATTTAATAAAGGATGTGCGTATACGCAATGTATTTAATTAACTGAATGCTTAATAGGGCGGAAACTGAAACTTCAAAATAAATAAGGTTTGTAATGATTACAATAAAGTTCAAACAGAGCTTTCGGTTGTTTTCAAAGCAAATAAGTAAAACAATAAAATTATAAAAATATAGTTTATAGCAATGAAAATATAAATTTTTAGATGACGCTCTTATATTTTATCAACTTAACAACATTATTAAATCGTTATATTTTTTCCACAGTTAGCACTAAATTTCCACACTTTATCTTAGCTTATGGCCTAGGGTTCTTTAGCAAAAGCAACCACACCTTATAATTTAACCATCAATTCAGTCACCGCATCACGAGATAAACCTTTTCTCTTCTTGACATTCAAATGCCACAGCACGTAGTCGAACCCAAAATAAAAAAGGAGCAAAAATAAAGAAAAACAGAACTGAGCATATTTAATAAGTTGACAAAACATATTTCACACGCACAAATGCTTCAGCTTTTGGCTGGGATGTTGTTCGTGCAGCAGCTCCTTCCTCTTGAGTCTACATATGTCAGGCGTCATTATTAACAGATTTTGGGTGCGACACGCACATGGAACCAATCCAGATCCTTCTCATACAACCCCAAAAGCAACGCCCAAACACCTTACAACATTTGCGTGCGGGTGGGTGGCTTAACAAAACAAGCACAGCGTGCGAAAATGTTATTGACGTCTATTTCAATATTTATCAACACCCCACAAGTATTATGCATGTAAAATATAAAAAAAGGAGAAAATACATCAGCCCTGGTTGGGGTGAGGGTGATGTAACGGCATTTCGTTTATAATTCTCTGCCAGTTGAATGGAACGTGCCTGACTTTAAAACCCTGGCAACTCAATGAACTCAGACGACAGCCGAAAGTCCATCGAATTCAATTTATCAACAACTCTAGAGTTCAGCCTGGGGTTACTGCATACGTTGTGTGTGTGTGTGGGTGTATCAGTGTGTGGGTTGTGCGTGTGTTGACTGATTTCGTTCATTGCAATTTTTGGCCACTAAAGCATGGAAGTCCCATGAAATATGCATCATTTAGCATTTACGACAGCAGCCAAGGGACAAGCACTGCAACTGACAGCGGCAAGCACCAGAGGATGGGGCTTATTGCGGGGCTTGCAAATGGTGAGGCGTGGGGGTGTGGGTGGGTGGAGAGATTGGTAAACTGCAACCACTGTTTATGGTTCCATCTGTCCGGACATAAATGCCACAGCATTGGAGCTGACACTAATACTCAAAGCTTGGTTAGGCAACTAATAAGCGTGTTGCCGAGGTGCGTCCCCAGATCCATGGCCAATGGAAGGACGCACAGTTGTGCCAGTTGTTGTGTCCTGTTGTGTCCTGTGCCCCACCCTCAAATTTGGCAGCATCTTAAGTGGGCAAGAGATACCTCTCCCACTGTCTCCTCAGTTATGGCCATGACAAAAAGGCAAGCAAATTAAACCCATATCAAACTAAAAGCATTGAACAGTTATAAGCCAGGCTAGACAGCGTTCCAAATACCAGACGGTAGAACAAGACCAAGAAATAAAGGTAAAAATACATAATGACCTCCAAGCAAAAGTACAATGGGCTAAATATTAAAATTAGTTGATGAATGTTTGTAATACAATCCGAAATACAAATGAGTATCACAAAAGAGAAGAGGCTCCCGAGACGGACTGTCTCTTTTAAATATACTTTATATATACATTTTAACGAACATTTTCCAAATAAAAATAATGTTGGCCTATAAGAATATAGAACCAGATATCTGTAGATACATGCTAAATAAATTTTTCATAAAATTTCAAATAAACATTTCAGCTCAATTTTGAAAAATGGTTTTAACATGCTTGTTTGCTTTTTTCCAATATATTTGCCACGGTGACCGAGCCAAAGCCTTTTACAAAATTTAAATCATGGCACCTACACGAATCCACGTCTCAGACATGCAAAAAAAAAAAAAAGAAATTTTCCCACACAGAAAAAACCACGCAAAATACGTAGAAGCCATATCAATGGCATATTTATGCTGCACGAGGGGCTGGCCCGAAGAGAGAGACAGATGGAACCGAGTTCAATGCATTGATTATATAAAGATTACGCATACGCCGAGTGTGCGTTCAGGCAAATTTTTGGCAAGAAATTAAATTAAAGTTTGCTACGCTGGTCAGGGCCAAGTTCAATAAATTATTGATTATGCCAAAAGAGAGAGAGAGAGAGAGAGAGAGAGGTTGAATTGGGGAGACGGAACGACTCCAAGGCAAACTGAAAACTTTAATCAAATGAGGCGAAAGGCTGGCACGGGCCTGGGCGGGGTGGGGCGGAGGCAGACAACCTTCGTTGCGGGCGACGATTGTGGTTCTGTTGTTGGCGCTGCCATGGCACTTATTTAATTTATAATCAAATCAAAAAGGCAGGCAAAGCCAAGTCAATAAAAGTCAGGCCAAAGTGCGAGCACAAAAACTTGAGGCATTTCTGATTATTGGACATTCAAATTGCCTCAAGCATGAATTATGTGCGGGCCCAGCTAGAATGAAATTTGTGCCCCTTGTTGTTGTTGTTGTTTTTGTTGTTGTTTGTTCTATTGAAATACTTGGAAATGAAAGTAAATAAGCGTAAAGATTCGCTTAGTGACTCTCAATTCGTATTCGTATTCGTAATGCGAATGCGAGAATTGTTAAATGATAAGTAAATTTAACTTTTGTTTAGCTCTCAACTTTGCCTGCTCCAAAAATATTCAATATGAGAAAATGTTGCGGTTGCGGATTTGAAATGAAAGATATTTTGCGTTTCCGCTGACCTAAATTAACAGTTGCGGCAATGCCAGCATAATGCCTGGCTGTAAATTAGAAAACTCACAAAATGGCAGCCAAAGCAGCGGAAAAGTTCATTGAAAAACATAAAAATTAAGCTCGTGCGGTAGCATCTTTAATTTCAATATCTGTACAATACGAATAGTCCGTGTAGTTCAATAGGCCAACTGGAAATTTAAAATTATACTTTAAAGCCTTTGTTATGGCTGCAATTGTTTCTGGCCTTGGTTCACGCTCGCGCACAAATATCGAAATAGATCCTATAATTAAAAGATATAACTGAAAATGAGCAGGCTATAAAGATTTTTAAATAAACCCACTTGAATGCTGTCGACCTAATTTGCGCTGGCGATTCTCGTAGCAAAAATACTGTATTATGAAATTCTCATTATCAGTTTGCGCAAACTGTGCCCAATAGAAACTATTATCAAAGGCTCGTATAATGCATTTATCCTGCAGATAATTTGGATGCACTGCATATTGAAACCAAATGCCAGAAAACTGCGAAAGTTGCACAAATATATTATAGTTTGATCAGCCCAATATATATTTACACATATTTACCGATATTTCTGAATTGCCAGCAGAGTCAAGCTCCACAAACTTGGGGCATTGTCCCTTAAACAAAACTCGCTTATAACTGGCTAGGCACAGGGCTATCAACAGCAGACAGAGCAACAGGAAACTAAATAAAAGACTAATTTTGGAAAGGTCTCAATTAGGAGCAGAAATACGAACCAGAAGCGTTTAAGCATGTTGTTTAGCAGTTGGCTTTTGAATATGTTACTATATTATTAGCTTAGCACATAGAAAGACTTTACACTTGTTTAGTAACGCTTTGTTTATTTATTTTACATATTTACATTAGTCACGCCCAGCAGCAGCTGCTTCTAAGTAAATATGAGGCGAATGGAAGCTAAGAGAATTAAATATTTTGCTTTAGTCACGGCTCGAACTTAAGATCTGATTTCCTTCAAATTAAAGTTGCTTTGGTTTCAGTTCTGCCTGTCACTGAAAAGTAATATAAATCGAGGAAATTTAAACAAATTGTTGCTCCCGTCGAGTTGGCTGAGAGAGGTTATTTGTGAATACACCAAATCATATCATGTATTTGCCAGGCGCCAAATATTAAATACTCGTGCAGTCTCGTCGATTTGCTGCCCTAAGATGCCTCTTGAGACATTTTCATAGATTAAATAAAAAAAAAAATTTGTAAAAAAATCAATAATTAACAATCTAAAAAGCTGCTAGGCTAAGCTGCTGGAGCACGTTCTGTGAAGCACTCATTAAAAAGCATTCGGCTCAGAGCACCTCAAAGTCCAAATGCAAAGTGTGGCCAGAAGAGTCACTTGTTGCAGTTACCCAACTGAAGAGCAAAAGAGAGGGCAAGTGTTTTAGAGAGAGAAACATGAACAGATAGCTAGATGAGATGACACACAGCCAACACTCACTTGAGCCAAGTGCTTGAGCTGCTCGTAGACGCGTCTTTTTCTATCCATCCTAATGATGTGCCACACAAGTTATTTAAGACATGCTTTTCCTTTTAATATTGTGCCTTATATTAAAACGAGTTGTCCCACTTTCAGACTGGCTGCAATATGTCAATGTCATTGCGCAAAAAATGTCAGCGACTTGCGGCTTGTGACTCGCGGTTGCAACTGCATTTGTTCAGCTTAACATAATAAAACAAAAAAACAAAAACAATGCAAGCAACAATAAATACATGAAAATAATATATATAAAATGCATGTTTTATTAATGCCTGTGCCTGGCTGCATTTACATGTATATGCGTGCTTGTGAGTGTGAGTGTGTGTGTGAATTTGTAAAACAATTTTTATGCTCCAATTTCCAATCAAGACACGCACCAGAAATTCATAGCCACCTGAAGCATACAAAGTTGGACGCGACATTAATGTTGGCGCCACAACATTTTTCTGCTGGAATTCTTGTGGTTTACAGTTGTTAAAAAAATGCCTTTGTTATTGTGAATATCGCAATACAATCTGCGGAGTCGGATACTCTTAAAAAATTCAATTCAATGCTGGGTAAAAAACACTAGAGTAGAATAAATATTTAAAGAGATTTCCTAATTAAATTCTGCATAATTTCGTCTTTTATTTAAATAATTAAAAAGAGTTTTAGTAACTAATCTATGAATTTATCAGAAAGATAGACTCGGTTCAACAATATTTAAATAGAGACAAGGCCCTATTTTAATTTAAATAAATTAAAAATAATTCAATCTATTAAATGAATAGTTGAGAATTAGAATGTTCCATACCCTTATTATCTTTACAAGCATATTCTAAAAAATTGTAATTGTTAACTTATTATTGCTTGCCCTTTTTTTATTAATCTGCGTAATTTTTAAAGACAATTAATTATCCACAACATTTGTATTTATAGTATTTTAGGGTTCATTAAATAATTAAAATAATATTATTAATTCTCAGTGTTAAGCACATTACCTTTAAGTTAATACCAAAAGATAAATATTTATCAAAATGAAAAGTGCAAAAATAAAAGAGAAAATTCTCAGCTGACACACTTTACGGGTGACATTTTTCACTTTTTCTGTTGCCGCGTATGTTATCTGACTTGACTCGCGCCTCTCATACAAATTTAATTAAAGAATTTTCCAGTGTTTTTCCACGACAAATAAAAAAATATATAAATAAAGAGGAAGAGAAAAAAAAAACAGCGAAAAAGAAGCGAAATCAAAAAGATTTATTTACCAAGTGCAAATTTATTTTCATTTCCCCCACTTAATGACTTTATGCAGGCGAAACCCGAACGCGTACGCGAACAGCTCAGCAAACAGCGTCGGAGACACAACATGTGTCGCTAGCCCATCCCTTCAGCAAGGACGATAGGAGAATGTTGGGGGGGAGGGGGGGGGGGGGGGGCGTGCGTGTGAGATATAAGTCCAATCCCTTGTGCAACTACTAAAGCCTGGGGCTGTCTCTTAAATAAAGGTGCAGGCTTCACTTTCATTCGTGCAGCCAAAACCAGAAGGCAGCCACTGCCTCTGAGAACTTCTTGACTTGCTCAGTTACAGCACAACAACAGCAGCAACAACAACAAAGGCAACAAAGTCAACAACAACAAGCGGAACAAGATGTATAATTTCCTTTTCTTAACATTATAGTTTTGCAAGTTTTCGTTAAATGCATTCAGCATCCTTTGCTCCTGCAACAACCTTGGCCAAGACAAGTTCGTATAAATATCTTTACACGGCACACGTATCAGCCAAAGATACTTAAGCTCCCATGTAATACGTGTAGTTTTCAGGCTCGCCAAACCTTGGCTGCTTTTCACTAGCCCAACATTTGGAAAATGTAATTTTCACCTAGTGCATTGTCTTTCGTGCTGTGTAATTATTTCCCTTTTTGCTTCAACGCAAAAACTGTTGTTGCTCGATTTTTGCCCGTTTTGCCAATTCGATTCTTGTGCTGCTTCTTGTACTTCCTTTGTTCTGTTTCTTCTTTTTTTTTTTCTTGCGGATTTTATTTTTTAATTAATTTGCTACGAGTCGGAAATGAAATAAAAGATGCAAGCGTGACATCAAACGATATTAGGGAAAGACGAGCAGCCATATAGGACTCTGGACTAACTTAAGACTGTTGCAGGTTTTTCTCATTGTACGGCTTTTTATGGCAAGGCTTCAGGGTGGCATTTAAACTTGTTTAGTATACCCTGAACCCACTGTTAATGGACAAAGGGGTATGCTCGTTACGTGAAAATGTATGTAGCAGACTGACAAAATCATCCTTGATCCCATAAAGTATACTAGTAAATGTATATTTTTGTTTTGTCTGTTCTTCGCACCGAAATAGAAAAAAGAGATAGAGTAAAAGAGCTAAAGATAAAAATAGAGACTGGAAATTCGATAAACATATTCTCGTTTGCCATTAACAGAACGAGTGCATCATTATATTCCATTCCTTCCATTTTCATTCGTAGATAAACCTCCAAACTCATAAGGGCCATAATTGACATAACTGACATAACCATAACTTGGACTATATATTATTGTATACACAAATAGGGAATATTTTAATTCTTGGATAGCTGCCCCATGCCTCGTTGTATTTTAAATATTGCAATACACACCATATTAGATAGTTAATATGCTCTATAGGATCGAATGTAAGAGCCAAAGGTATATGATATCCATTGAAGTTTCCCCAGTGTTTGGTTAGAGGAAGAAGAGGCGGAGACGCGCGTAAAAGCATGGATTTTGTCGATAAACCATGCAGAAGATAGCTAATAAAAAAATTTAATTAATAAAGCGTTTGATTCCGTATAAACTAATACTATCCAAGACTCCTTTGTTTTACCCGGCAAAACTTGCTGCCAGATATTTTATTTCCATTGAAGATATAAAGGGATCTAAAAGCTAAATTTCGTTCTTTTATAAGTCTCAACGCCGGAGAGAATCGTCTTCCAAGTAGCATAAATTATAATTCCCTCAACATTTTATCAACATTAAATAAAATCTTAAAACATACTGAACAAATCAAACAACCCATTTATTTAGTTATTAAAAGTCATATATGTAGTTAAGTCTATTGTCAAGTGGAGTGGGTATTGCCGAATTGAGTTGATTGAATCAAATATTAGGTTCTTCATATGTTCAAGGCAAACTCAATATCAAGTAAGGCTTCTGTTATCAACTACGCGTATCTTGATGCCATAGCTATTGTGCCCAAGTACCTGGCTTGAAGTTCCTCTCGTTTCAAGGGGTTAACAATATAAATTTTATAAGCAGCAGCAGCGGCAGCAGCAGCTACTGCATCTAAGTAAACTCTCATCAGCTGCATCAGAAGATGCGTAAACATTTCACGTAATCGCTCAACACCTAATCAACATTCAGGCAAACCCTTCGAAAGCTGCCACTGACAACCACTTCGCACACACACACACGCACACACGCGCACACAATGCAACAAAGTTGGGAGTGTGCCACGCCCACAGCAGCCACAAAACTTGATGCAAAGGAAACGAGCTGAACGTTTATCGTACTGAAACTGAGTTTTTGGTAAGCAGATGAGAAGCTGAGCATATGAGCATAAAGGATATACGCTGTAAATTTTCATTTTTATGAAGTTGCACAAAGTACGAGAATGTGGTTACATTTTGGATTAAAATAGTTGATGTTGTTGTTGTTGTTACTGTTGTTGTCGTTACTGCTGCTGTTAGCTGCAGTAGCAGTTGCGGTAGTATGTGCCAAAGTTGTATATTGTCAGCCAACAAACGAGCCGAGTGAATGTCAAGCGAAGAAAGCGAAAAGTGCTTTTGCCTTTATATTTTGCATAGCGAATAGTTGTTTAAAATGGTATAAAATATATAAAAATAACTGACAGCAGGTGCTCAGATATATTTCAAAGCTAATAATGGCAGCAACTTCGTCCAGAGATAGTGCGAGAGAGCGAGATGTAAGAGAAAGAGAATGTGAGATTAAGTGTGCTATCTCGGAGCAGAGTGCTTATTTATATTGTCACATAATGACACAATAAAAATATTAAGCATTAATAGAGATATTTTTTTTATCATTACAATTTGCTTTAAGGACAAACTTACTTGTAATTATAAGTTCTTGAATTAAGTAAATTTGCAAATGAGTGTAAATTGATAGTTCAGTCTTTGGGGAATACTTAAAAGAGAATGCTACAGGACAGATATTTAATATTATTAAAGTAAGCCCCATTAAGTGGTATTTATACATATTCTTGATCTTCCTTAATAGTTGAGTTGCAAAAGTCTATTCTTTTCTATCTGTCCGACTTTAACGAACAAGTCTCTCAGTTTG